GGTCCTTGGTGCTTTCTGAGCTTGGCTGCTTTCGTGCAGACGTTTCATGACCCAACTAGGGAACTTCATCCGTGCTAGCCAGATCTCTCTGTTGGCTTTCCCGAAAGAGAATCCAGAGGTCAAACCTGCAGGGCTCACCTTAGCTTTCTGAAGCTCTTTGAAGTGCATCTCGGCATTCACCTTGCCTTGAACTTCCTCGTGCTGCAGTCGGTCCATGAGCTGGGTCTGCAGGAGGTACTTCTTGTGCAGCTCCTCCTTCTCAACGGTGAGTAGCTGATAGGCTGCGATGTACTGCTGGAGGTGGGCCAAATACTGATCCCTCTGGTCCTGGAAGTCCTGAGCTTCGTGGGTCTTCTGATCCATCTTGGACGGAACAAGGCCCAGTGAACGAAGATCTACTCCAACAACACGCCTTCCCACCATCTCCCATAACTATGGACAGAAGGCCAAGCTCTCCTGACAGCATCACTAAGATCAATCTTAAACCTGATTAAGGAAGGGGTGACCTATTGCCTCCCCAAGCTTCTTCCCCCCCCAAAAAACCAGTTCTCCCCAGTTTGAGGGCGTCTCAGCCACGATTTCGTGTTGAAGGTGATCAATTTTGCTTCCCCTCAAAATCTAGACCAGAGTGGCTCAGCCTTGGCGACTTTAAATGAGGTGGACTTCAATTCCCAGGGCTTCCCAGCCGCCATGGAACTCTGGGAGTTGAAGCCCACCTATCTTAAAGGGGCCAACACCGAGGCCCATTGCAAAAGTTGAATTGGATGACTCAACAGTTGCAGGAATTGGGTAGGTCTTGATTGATTGAAAGGACCAGGAGTGACATGACAGCAGTGTTCCAATATTTGAGGGACTGCCCCAAAGAAGAGGGAGTCAAGCTATTCTCCAAAGCACCTGAGGGCAGGACAAGAAGCAATGGATAGAAACTCATCAAGGAGAGAAGCAACTTAGAACTAAGGTAGAATTTGCTCACCCTTAGAACAATTAATCAGTGGAACCACTTGCTTCCAGAAGTTGTAAATGCTCCAATGCTGGAAGTTTTTAAGAAGAGGTTGGATAAACATTTGTCTAAAATGTGATAGGGTCTCCTGGGTTGGACTAGAAGACCTCCAAGGTCCCTTCCAACTCTGTAATAGTTATTTCTTTATTTAAGACGGAGGGTTGCAGTGACAATCGACCAAGGGTGCTTTTGAAACCAATGGCTTGAGAGCAAGGAGCTAGAGTCCCGCTTAGTCAAGGAATTCCAAATTCCCGTGTCAGGAAGCTGCGCTAAGCAGCCTAACACCACCACCCCCAAAATCAAGAGCCACCTGTGGAAAATAATTTTGCTCCCAGGATAAAAGCGGAAGAGCCAGACTGGACTCTGAAGTCCAAAGAGCCTTGCCTTCTCCTTAAAGTCCACCAGCTTCTCCTGGAGTTCGCCCAATTTCTTGGCCAGCTGCTTCTTCACGTGCTGTTCAGACTGCAAGGCGCTTGTGATCTCCATGTTCTCGTTGGTCTGAAAGCAGAAGGAAGGAAGGTTTGAGGGAAATACTTACGACCCCCGTTGAGCCAAAAAGGTTATGCTGCCGAGTGAAAAATGTGTTTAAGGGAGCTTCGCCCCGTTTTACGACTTTTCTTGTCCCATTCGTTAAGTGAATCGCTGCAACTGTTAAATTAGTAACGTGGTTGTTAAGTGAACCTGACTTCCCCCATGGACTTGGCTTGTCTGACGGTCGCAAAAAGGGATCACTGTGACACAGAAACCATCATAAATATGAGTCAGTTGCCAAGCATCCTGTGACCATGGGGATGCTATAACGGTCATAAGCGTGAAAAACAGTCACAAGTCACTTTTTTTTCAATGCCGTCGTAATTTCGAACGGTCATTAAGCAAACTGTTGTTAAGTCGAGGACTACCTGTACCCAAATCAAACCAATGAGAGATGTTTAAGAGCCTCGGTGGCGCAGTGGTTAGAGTGCAGAGCAAACGTAACACACCTAAGCAAGAATCTTTTAGACTTCCCCTCTATAAATAGGCGGGCAGAGTTATAAAACACAGTCCCCGGGATCAAAATTCAGGGTTTAAATTTGGAAGGCTCAAAACTACCCCTGCTCTCTGCTGTCTGGAGTTTTGGGCATGAGGCTCCAATTACGGTCATAACCCGAGGACTATGCCTTGGCCTTCGGGAGATGACGAGGGAGAAACGCACCAGTTTGACGAATCCGTTCTGCAGCTCCGCCAGCTGCTCCTTCAGCTCCCGGTTCTGCGTCAAGGCCCGGCTGATGGTAGCTTTGTCGCTCTGCATGTTCTCCAGGATCTGCTGCTTGTCCACGGCCTCCTCGCTGTAGCGCTGTAGGGCCTTCTCCAGCTCTTGGAGCCGCTCCTCCTGCTCCTGGTTGAGCTGGCTAAGCTGCCCATTGTCTCGCACCTGGGTCTGCCATCGGTCGAGCAGCTCCTCCTTCTCCTTCTCCAGTTGAGCCAACTCCTCTTGAAGGCGCGCTTCCGTTGGCGAGGGCCCCGGGGTGGCAGGAGCAGGCGGAGTTTCCTGGGCTTTCACCGCTATGGAACCCGGTGGGGGAAGAAAGGTGGCTTATTTACGGCGAACATCCTAGGATCAAGCCAACTCTAACGGCAAGCCTAGATGGTTCTCTAGAGCTTCCCACCCTCCGGTCCCTGAGCACCATCTAGGAGCAAGCACCCAACATGCTGCAGCGGAGGGATCTTTCCACCGAGCTAGGGACGTATGAAGGAAAGACTGCTGGATTTAGAAGATTTATTTTAGCATATGGCAATGATACGTTTCTCAGGAGACTACAGCGCTAGTGCAGAGTAGTAGTTCGGCTGCCTAAGGCTGCTATCTGTTCGGTTCACGCTGGCGCCTTTCCCAAGGTGCGCCAGAGCGGGGCAAGCTAGTTCCGCACCAGAAAGAAAAACGGAACGGCTTTCCTGCAGCGTCCTCTGAGGCCAAAGCCGCCATGCAAACGGGCCTTGCAACGGAGAAGGTCCAGAGCCGGCAGGATTCTAACCATCCGCATAAAGCGCCGGCTTCTCTCCCTGCTGAACGGGTACCTATTTATCTACTCGCACAGAACACGCTTTCGAACGGCTAGCTGGGCAGGAGCGGAGGTGAGTGACGGGAACTCACACGGTGCTGGGACTTGAACTGCTTGGAGCAAAGACCATCTCCAGCGTCATTAAGTCACTGAGCCGCCACGCCCCAATTTTAGAAAATGGGTGGGGCGAGTCGGGTGACCGAAAGGAGGCAGTTGCGAACGCTGGCATTTACCTGACTGACTGCTGAGCAGCTCCGAGAGGTTCGTCTCCAACTCCCCAATCCGAGTCTCACTGACTTCTTTCTCTCCCATCAGAGTCCGGACCTGCGGGAAGCCCAGGTGTACCAGCTTGAAGGGCAACCTCCAAAACCATTAGAGATCCCCCAAAGAATCTCACAGGTATAGTCCTTACCTGCTCGGAGAGGAGCTCAACCCGCTGCTGCCAGATGTTCCCTTCCTCCTTCAGACGCAGGACGTATTGATCTCGTTCGGCCTGCAGTTTCTGCAAGGATTCTGACAGCTGCTCCGCCAGGAAGAAGGAAAGAGAATAAGAGTCGGGCAGTGCGAGTCAGATGGATGACTGACAGCTGCCATCAAGGCCAAATCCCACAGCCTTCTTTTGAAGGCATCCCCTCTGGACATCCACCTTACCTGGGCTATTTGGCTTTCTAAGTTGGCTCTTTCCTCCAGTGCGGCCTGCAACTGCTGAGCAGTAGCATCTGAGATCCCTGGCTGGCTTGAAAACTAGCAGAGGGGTTTAAAAAACAACAACACCACACAATTATCCAAGTCCTTTTTGATCCACCTTCTTCTCCTCCCCTTGTCCAGGAGAGATTTGTCAAGGTGGGCTCCAGGTGGTGCATTAATTACAGTAGTGAATTAGGGAGACTCAGGTGGCTTAGCATAGCCTATTTCATACAGGGGTGTGTTTTTTTTGGGGGGGGGGGAGACTACAAGGAGTCAACGCCCCAGGAAAAAAAAAATCAGGATCCAAAAAGATCTTGACAGACTTGAACAATGGGCTCTATCCAACAACACAAAAATTTAATGTGGCAAAGCAAGGTTTTACACCCAGGCAGGAAAAAACAAAGGTACAAATACAAATTAGCTCTTCACTTACGAGCACAGTTGGGATCAGAACTTCATTGCTAAGTAAGGCAGTTGTTAAATGAGTCGCACCTTATTTTATTTTATTTTTATCTTTTTTGCCACGGTTATTAAACAAATTGTTGCATTTGTGAATTGCATCAAATGGTCATTGTGATGCCCCTGGTGGAGACTGACTCTGAGGGAGAGGAGGAACAACCGACAGGGAGTGGAAGTGTGGCTCCGGAGGTTGTGGAAGAGGCTGGGGAAGGGCAGAGGCCGGCTGGGCAGTCAGAGGAGGACCCAGGCCCATCCCTTCTCCATCCTAGGGCACGCAGGGAGGAGAGGATAAGGGAGAGACATCGTCTACTCGGGAGGACAGGGCCTTGATCCTCTTCATGGACTGCAACTGTGACAACTGAATAAGAGGACGGACATGCATACGGGTGAACGCTGGAAACAAAGCGTGTAAATATCTCTAGTTTATAGTTCCTCTCTGACTTTGCCGTCCTTCCCAGTGTGTGTTATCTGCGGACATCCTGCAGCCCTTATCGTGCCTGGTTTGTGTTGCTTTTTCCCTTCGTCTTGTAACCGTGTGGGAGTTTTTTGTCTTCCGTCAAGAATATTCACAGCTTGGAAGCAAGGTGGAATAAAAGGGGCTTCGCCTGTTTTCTGTGACTGTGTTTGTTTTGTAACCCACCCTGGGTCACCACAGTCACAAAGGAAATACAGCTTCCCCCTTGTCAAGTTCACAAGTTTTGGATTCCGTGATCGTGCGAATGATGCAACGGTTTTCACAGTGCGAGAACCGGTTGTGAGTCATTCCCCCCCCCCCCGAGGTCATCGTAACTTTGAACGGTCTCTATAAACAAAATGGCTGAAAGAGTACTTGCAGTCACAACAACGCCGATACCTGCTGAATCACCAGTTCTGCCATTTCCAGTTTCTTGTGCAAATCTTCTACATCCAGTTTCATGGCTGAATTTTCAGAGATCAGGTTGCGCAGTTTCTCGGACAATTCCGAAGTCTGCTGTTTGAGTTCTTCGTTGATTTTACTAGGGAGAGACAGCAGCCCAAGAGAGCCAAATGAAACCTTCCTTCACGTCTATCAATACCGCAAACAATCACACTAAAGCAAAAAAAAAAAAAAATGACAAACCTCACCTCTAAACGCTAAAGTAAAGACAGATGAATCTTACCCCTGCTTATACATTTCCAGTTTGAGGTTATCTCGTTCCTTTGCTAGCTCTTTGTTGTGCTGCGGGCAAAGAAGGAAAAGCCAATCAAAACAGGCAATTTTTTTTTTAAAAAAAAGAGAGAGAAAGAGAAAAATATTTCACTGGAACAAATGTCTCTAAATGAGAAAGTTTGCAAAAGTTTGCGGTATTCTCACTCCTGTGATGGGCACTTAACGGCCAAAATGATGGATTCTATATAAATTGTCCGGCATCTGTTGTTGTTAGATAAAATAATTCAGATTGGCTGGCTGGTCCAATTCCCTTAACTGCTTTGAAAAAAATAAAAAGTATGGATTTGGTGGTGGTGGTGGTGGATTAAAACAAGACCCCATAAACTGCTATGCAGAATTCGACAGCACGTTAGCCCGTTGACTTCTGCCAAAGCAAAATTCAGCTAGGAAAAGCTGAATATTCACCAGTATTCATCCACCATGGAAATGTTTTGCCTTGTATAGCCAGAGCAACTAAGATGCTAACAGCTCCGTCTGCATTAAATGCCCCTTTCGTTTGTCCTTAAAGAGTCAAACAAGGGTCTTAGCTGGAGAAGGAAGTTTTTTTTTGACTAAGATCTCTTGATTGGGGTATTGTTTACTGCTTGATTGCTAGTGTGAAATTAACCTTGGAGTTAATCTATCCTGATCTGAGTGCTGATTGACAAAGGCAAGGCAAAGTGTGTGTGTGATCCACGGAGCTTTTTTTTAAAAAAATAATCCTTTATGTTCAGACACAGCTCTCAAACACGACAAACCCTCTGCAGTTAACGAAATGTTTCCTTTATTAGGAGCGCCAGCAGCCCCGGTAAAAAGTCTCTCTCTTACTCACAGCAGGCTAACAAGTCTGAGTTGTCTGTCACATCTATTCATCTCTGCCCCGTGCCTTTTAACCCCTAGCTAGGGTGGGGCCTCGCTAGTTGCGGCTGCTCATCCTTCCCAAGGGCCGGCCCATAGATTTCCACTGCTCTCCTCTCCTCTGCCTTCTGCGCATCTGCATGTCAGGCACTGAACCCAGCTGTTCCTCCTCTTCCTCATCAGCCACCTGGGGGCTGTTGACTCGCCATCTGAGGACTGATTGACAGCCCAGGCTCTGCCTCTATCTCTATCTCTGACAGCTCCATTCTCTCTTCCCCCTTGGAGCTCTCAGGTTGCCCTAATGCGGATCATGACTCCCACGCCGCCTCCTCCTCCTCTGATTCGGCTGCCAGAGGGGCCAACAGACCACAATAGCTTATTTCTACTTGCTTTGCAAGCATCTGGGGCAGGGAACTAGGCCTTACTTCACCAAAAAGGAAGCCACGGTGTCAAAGAAGGCAAGGAGAGAAGAGGGGAAGGCCCTACGCTTACTTTCTCGGTCTGCTTCTGCTGAAGGGAGAGGGAGGAGAGGGTGTATTCTACTTCTGAGATCCTCTGGCGGGATGACTGCAGCCGGGCGGCCAGGTCCTCAGCTTCCCCTGTCCCGGAAAAAAAAACAAAAAACCAAGATTAGGGCTGCTGGCATCCAAGCGCACGTCAACCCCATAATGCCAACCGGAGGCTTGGTAGTTACCACCGGGGCTGCTAAGAAAAGCAGAAGTGGGCCCGATTTGATAGCCAACTAACCCCAGGATCAAAAAGGAAAAGAAATGCAGCTGGGATACATTTAAATTCAAGCCTGTCGGACTGGATTTCTTTGAAGATGGGACAAAGGGATCCCAGGAGGTGGAAAAAAAAAAAGAACGCCGGGTCTCTAATGCCACCAGGTGATTGAATAAGGAAGGCGGCCAGGAGAGGAGCGCTCACCTGCTTTCTGTCGGGCGGCCTGCTGTGTGTGGCTGAGGGCTGTCTGCAGTTCGGACTTCTCAGAGACCAGGATGCCAATGGTCTGGATGTGGACCTTTAAAGGAAGCCCGGGAGAACGGGATGAGCCGAGGAACATTGAGAGAGCCAGCAGGTGACGGAACACCGCTTCCCACAAAACCAGGTGCTTCCTCCTGGGGGTTGGAGAAGGCCGCCAGGACAGGGAGGGGAGGGTGATATGGCACCTACCTGTAATTGTTCTCGTAGGGTGGCTTGCTCCTTCGCAAACTTCTGCTCAAAGCTCCTCTTCTCCTGTGGAAACACGATTTATTTATGCTTCAGCCAGACCGGCGGTCAATTTAGCGTGCTGTTGTCCGGTCTTTAGCGCCATGTTTCTCAACCGTGGCAGTTTGGAGATGGACGGGCTTCCTTTCAAACCTTGGCAGTTTGAAGACAGAGGGAGTTGGAAGTCCTCCCATTTTCAAACTGCCACGGTTGAGAAACGCTGCTTTGTTATATCCAGATATTGCTAGAACTGCTTTGGCCCAGACACAGCATTTCAAAGCTTTCTACGGTCTTTCCACCAACAACTTTTCAGAAATGCTGGTGAAGCGGCTGAGAAACTATCCTTGGAAAGTGGCCTCTGTTCCACTGTATTTTTACTACTAAGCTGGCATGCTAACCCATATCATCATTTAACAACCCCATAATCCCTTACCAAGTAGAGTTTGGGCAACTAAATGGAGCTGAGTGTTTACTGGCTGGATGCCCTCCCTGTTGCCAATGCGGAGTTTTTGTTCAGCAGATATATTCTCATTGTCCCCAGAGAAAGAAATATCTGTCTCTACCTAGGATCGAACTCACAGCCTCCTGATTGCGAGGTGAGAGCTGCGCCTCTAGGCCACCGCGCCACTTCCATGCTAATCCATATCTGGCCTGGAAATGCATGCTAACATTGTGCTAATTAAAAAAAAAAAACCTAAATGAAAAGTCACAAGGTTTTCAAAAGAGAAAGAGAAAACCCCTCAGCTGATCAGACTAACCGGTCGATGTTCAAAAGAAATGCAGAACTATCTGCATCTGGAAGAAGCTGATACAGCCGCAAACAGCAGCTTTTACGTTAAGAAAATGAATGCAAACAATAGGATGACTATGAGTTGATGGTAAGCTGCACAACTGTGAGGAATTGAAGAATCCCCCCAAAAAGTGTGTTTTGTTCTGCACGCCTCAAAGACCTGTTCAGATTGACAACTGGAGGGAAACCAATCCGTATAAATTAGGTTGCAATTTTTACACCTCTACCCCGGAGGGTAAATGCAATTTCACTTGTCCGCAGGGTTAGAGGGTCTTCAAATTAACTAGAGGTAAGGCAGTTGAAACCCTCCCAACAATGTTTAGAAGGCAGGGGGCAAGCAAAATAAAACATTTTTATTTTATTTTTTTGGTATCTCTGGAATATATCTTTCTCCATTACCTTCTCCAACTCGTTCACAACGTCTTGGTTCTGCTGTTTCTGCACAAGGAACAAAATGGAGACAACGAGGATCACTTCTGAAGCTAGGCAATGCGGTGTTAAGGCTTTTGTGGGGAGCAACACAGCTCGGGTGTCGAAACCGGGACCAGCAGAAGCACCGCAACCCCCGCCGTGTTGTAACGGAAGTGCTTTCGGGGGGGGGGGGTACAGGGGTCCTCCACTTACAACCATTCGTTTAGCGGCCAGCACAAGGGCCCTGAAAAGACGTGACTTTGGGACTTCCACATACAGGCAGCGTATGACACATGACCCAGCAGAGTGGGGGGTGGGGTGGGGGGTGGAATGAGAAGTCAAAGGGAAAAAAAAATGAGGTGGGGGGGAAATAAAAAACAAGGCATGCAGACAAGCTGGAGAGAGCGACATGACAAGGAGGAAGGTTTCAAACACAGCAAGGCCCCTTTTGCTACCCGAAAACAGCCCTTAGTTGCACGGAAGGAAGAGAAGCCGCAAGAAGCCATGAGACAAGATGAGCCACGTGGGCTTCCTCACGGTGCCACAAGAGAAGGACAGGAAGCCGGGCTCATCTTACATTTGGGCCTAGAAAGATCTGCTCTTGCCGAAAAGAGTCGACACTGGATAAATGAGGGAGAGCCGGGACTGTTATCTTGGGGTGAGCTTGGGTTTCAGGATCTGAACCCGTTTCCACTCTCCCCGATTTGAGGGGATGAATTGAGTTTACGCCTATAGGTTCTAGGGCGGCGTGGTGGCTCAGCGGGTTAAGATGCTGGGTTTCCGGCTGGAAAACTTAGCAGTCCAGGTTTGAGACCCGAGTGCCGTGCGACGGGGTGAGTTCCCGTCCTCGGCTCAGCTCCTCCCAAACTAGCAGTTCAAAAGCAGGCAAAGGCGAGTAGATAAATAGGTACCACTTGGGTGGGAAGGTAACAGCACTCTGAGACATCATGCTGGCCACGTGAACGCAGGAATGTCTTTGGACAGCACTGGCTCGATGGCCTTGAAAGGGAGATGAGCACCAGCCCCTCGAGTCGGTGACGACTAGAGGATTAAAATCTGCGAGGATTCCTTTGATCTTTTTACCGACAACTTCTCCCTCTCCCCCAAAGCCCCTTGTGGGCGTAACCCTGCGGTTTCTTAAGTTACTTGGCTGCTTCTCTTCAGCCCATCCTTCTTCATTTTGTGGCAAATTTCTCTCCTGGCAAATCTCTGCCTGTCTTCCAAGCTGGCCCTTTCTGACAGCTCTGCTACTAAAGGGCTGAAGAGCTGACTTCCAGGGATGATGAAACTCTTAGTAGTATTAACCTGTCAACTTGATCTCCAACCGGGGGTGGGGGCTGAACGAATTGCTTGCTGACTTCCATGTCAAATTAGGCCCGGTAGGACCTAATGGGGAGATACTCAGTCAGCAATTAGCCAATGAACTTTTCACACACAGGCTGGGTGTGGAAACATAACCCTGAACGGAAGTTTTAATTGGGATTCCTGAATTCCAAACAGGACAGTGACTGTTGAAGGATGCCAATTAATTGATTCATAGTAACGCACACTGCACACCTTGTCTTGTGGCACAGCGAAAGGATGGAGGACCTTACAGGAGCCCAGAGAGCAGAGAAGAGCAGCCAGCCAAAGCCAAATCGGTCGATCTAGTTAGGTTCCTTACCAATTCCTCTATCTCTGCACTGAGTTGTTTGTTTGTTAAATTGCTGGAGTCAAAAGCTATTGCCAGCTCCTGGTAACGAGCCTGATGGGGCACATGCAGACAGCCAGAGGTGGAAGAGGAAGAGAAGAAAAGGAGAGAGAGAGAAAAAAGGCAAAACAGTTTTTTTTTAAAAAAAAGAGGGAAAAATTCAGTAGTTTTCTGCAACCTCTCCTCAACAAATGAACCCCAAACCCATCTTCCTCTGAAACACATACTGCCCCCCCTAAAAACTTCACTCCTATTTCAACGTCAAGGCAGTCAACCAAGCTATGCAACCTTGAAAAATCCGGTTTGTGAGACTGGGCTGAAATGTTGGTCCAAATTCTACGCCTTTTCCCCTGCCAAGGGGGACACATCTCTTGAACTCAAAGCCAAGCTCTCCTAGCAGGGAAGGAAAAACCCAGAATTCCCACAAACCGGCATGTTCCTTAAAGGCATTGTAGGAGCTGCAGTATGTGGCCGACACATCGTTGGAGGGATTGGTGACGAAATAATGGCTAACGGGCCAGCGGGAAGGGGGGGACCTACCGCCATCTCTTTCATGTCTGCAGGCGGCAAGATGTTTTCTCCGTTGATGTAAGTCGTAGTCTGCAAAAGAAAGGTTAAGGGTCGCAGTGAGGATCTGGATTCTGTTTCCACAGGCTGATCGAGGCAATTTGTATGGGAGCACGACTGTTTCTAGCCCATTGAAGAATAAAAATAATAATAATAATAATAAGCCGAAGGACATTTCAGAGCCCTGAAGACAGACAGACTGATTGTGCCAATTCCCTTCTCCTTCCAATATTGTTCTATTTTCATGGATCCAATCTCTACTTAAATGCTTTTTTTTTTTTTCCTGAAAAGGAATAAGCCAAGAGTTTTCAAACTTGGCAAGTTTTAAGCCTTGCGGATTTCAACTCCCAGAATTCCAGAGCTAAAAATGACCGGAGGAGGAATTCTGGGAGTTGAAGTCCACAAGTCTTCAAGCTGTCAAGTTTGAAGACCCCTGAGATAAGCTTTGAAAATGTTTTTCACCCACGTTTCCCACAGACCCCCATGGCAAAACTGCTTTATTGTTTCACCGTCAAGCTGCCCTAACTCTGATCATCTGGAATCCTTAAAAGTTTCAAGAAAAGAGAATATTGGACTTGAACTAGGGTCCTTGGTGCTTTCTGAGCTGGGCTGTTTCCTTGCAGATATTTCACGACCCAACTAGATGACATCATCAGTGCTGGAGAGGAGCAAGTTTCTACCCAGTGCTACCTTCTAGCACTGATGATGTTCCCTAGTTGGGTTGTGAAACGTCTGCAAGGAAACAAACCCGGCTTGGAGGGCACCAAAGACCCCAGACTCCAAGGTTTGTTTCTGAGATTTCATTCTACGTAAAAGAAATAAGCTCAAAAGTCAAAGATGGCTTCTTACCTGGCTGACCATGCCATTCAACTGCTCAGAGAGTTTGCGGAGACTCTCCGTCGTTGAGAGGGACCTAAAGGAGAGACGAGGAATTAATAAGGAAGGTGGGATCGCTCGTCTGTTATTCGGTGGCCAGGAAAAGAGCGGAGAGAAAGTCTTTCTGTTGTAGAAAGTGAAACCAAAGAAACATCTCTCACCTATTTTCATCCAACACAGTGTTATGATCAGTGTCACCAATCTATGGAAGAGAGAGAGAGAGAGAGACGCGCGATTAAGCCACGAGATTATACTTCAAAGAGGTAAATACAGGTAACAAATACAGGTAGACGCAGAGAGACTGTCATGCCCATGTCAGAGCTTGAATCGGAGGAAGATGAGCCGATGGAGACCGAGAGGGCGGCTTTGTTGGCTTCGGAGGAAAATGGGGAAAAGCAGGCCCAGTCAGGCCAGAGCCTTTCAGGATTGGGACGGCTTATAGGCAGGGAGGAAGCGGGGCAGAATGACCAAGAGAAGTTAAACAGTGAACACGAGACAGAGCCCAGGTGATGAGCAAGGACCATCCCCTCCTGAGAGAGAAGGTGAGAACTACTCGGGAGAAGAGCACCCTGCCCCTCTTCACAAAGCACACTTGGGGACTGAGACTTGAGGAGACGCTGCGGGGAGGGAACAAACGCTGAATTCATAAGAGTGTTGAGTGCCGACATTTGAATTTTCCTGGATTCCTTGCATTCTTTCCGGCTTTCTGGAATAACTGCCTTGCTCCTTTGCTTCCTGGACTCCCCAACTTGCCCTGTTGGGTTTCTTGCTTTGCAGCTGTTGTGCTCACCACTTGGTGCTGGATTACTTGCAGCCAGGGGCTGCTGGAGGTGTGTGTGTGATTACTTTGCTCTGGGATGAGGAGCATTTGGGGCAATTTGGAGCAATGAAGGGGAGGCCTGAACTGTCAGCTGCCTTTGCTGCCTCTGTGCCCCAGGTCATCACAGAGACCTTCACAAAAGAAGGCGGGTGGTCTCCCAGGATAACGTTGCAGGACCCAATCTGGGTCGGTCCCTGGGACCAGAGGTTTAGTCTTCCAAGCTTTCGGAGCCCATCCTCGGGGAACTTGTCTCTAGCTTATCAAGTACAGGTAGTGTGACGACCCAAAGGGCGTGGCACAAAAGCAACAAAGTCACAAAAGCCCCTTTAATTCCTCCAACTTGGCCCCCAATGTCCAGTTATCATTGGCTGGAGAAAAAACTCTCCCAACAAGAGTTTTTAAAGGGAAGAAATTTAGTCTGAATCCAAAGTACATATAACTTATAAATAAAAACCAACACAAACCACGCTGTAGCAATTAACGAGACAGGGCAGGATAAGGAATTGCAGAACTCAAAAGATAACAAACACACAAAGTTGGGAAGACGCCAGATCCCAGATAAGACTTGATAAACAAACATAACGCATGCTTTGCTTCCAGGAAGATTCTGTGCACAAATGCCCCTTTTATCCTGTTGCCCCAGCTGCAGCTAATGAAGGGAATCAGGGCCTTTTTCTCCCCCGTAACCCATGTTGCTCCCTTCTCCATTCCTCCCTGCATGGCCTAGGATGAAGAGGGGGTGGGCCTGGGTCTTCCTCTGAATGCCCAGCCGGACTGTACCCTTCCCCAGTTTCCTCCACAGCCACCCGAGCCACACTCCCACTCCCTGTCAGCTGTTCCACCTTTCCCTCGGAATCGGACAACAACTGGGGCATGACAGGTAGCCCTAATTTACAGCAGTTCGTTTATTGACCATTCGACATTACAAGGGCCCTGGAAAAAAAGTGATTTATGTCCAATCTTCACACTTACAACAGTTGCAGCATCCCCGTGGTCAGGGGATCGAAATTCAGACTCTTGGCAACTGACTCATATTTATGACTGTTGCAGTATCCCGATTCATTTAACAACCAGGTGACTAAGTTAACCACTGCAGGGATTCACTGAATGACTGTGGCAAGGAAGATTTCAAAATGGGACGCAAATCTCCCTTAGAACTTCGGAAAAGAAAGTTTGGGCTCGACTGTGTAAGTCGAGGACTACCGGGGAGAAGTGGATGTTCACCAACCTGTGACAGCTGCTCGAGGTTTGGAGCAACACAAGCGGACATGTCTTTGCTGTTAGACAGCAAGGAGACGCCAGCAGCTAAGTCGCCATCGTTATGGGCCTGTCAGAAAACACACAACACCACAAGGATTAAACCCACCGGGCGGGTGGGGAGGAAGCGGATGAGGGCAGCGATGCATGGCTTCGCTTGGGAACCTGTCCCACAAAAGATTATCCTAATATATTAAAAAAAAACCAACCCAAAACCCCAATCCTCTTAATGCCCCAAGCTAAGGTTCCACAGACTAAGCCTGCCGCTTCGGAGGGCTGCTAAGTTAGGCGGAAGTGAAATGTGGCTAAAATTGCTCCTTTTATTTTAACAGCAACAAGCAAAAAAAAAAAAAAGAAGGAAGATAATTCATCAGTGATTCAGTAGCCTGCATGGAAGTGGGTGGGGAATTGCCAGAATTGCCTGTCAAAGCAACCTAAGTGGACAATCCCCAGGAATCTGGGCTGTTAGACCTAGCTGGAAACCTGAATTTTATGAACAGGGAATTCAATAAAGGAACTCGCAGGAGGGGGAACGGCATTCAGCCTCAACAAACTCACGAACAAAATTCCACTTAAATGAACAAAAGGAGGAGTGAATTGGAGAGGGGCCTGAATGGAGAACGTTCCCTTCTTTACAGGACATTGCTATCATGCAGGTGAATCAATCGATCAAAATAGAGCTGGAAGGGACCTTGGAAGTCTTCTAGTCCAGCCCCCTGCTCAAGCTGGAGACCCTATACCATCTCAGACACGTGGCTGTCCAGTCCCTTCTTAAAAACCTCCAGTGATGGAACACCCACCATTTCCGGTGGCAAGTAGTTCCACTGGTTCACTGTCCTCCTCACTGTCAGGAAATTCCTCCTTAATTCCAGGTTGCTTCTCTCCTTGGTGAGTTTCCACCCGTTGTTTCTTATCTTGCCTTCTGGTGCTTTGGAAAATAAGTTGACCCCTCCTCTTTGTGGCAGCCCCTCAAATCCTGGAATATTGCTATCATGAAGTTTGCCATTAAAATAATGTGGAGCATTTAATCCTAGCAGGGACTTTCAGCCTGCTCCGATAGATGTGGGGACACCCTGCCAAAATCACAGACTTCCTGATTTGAAAATGTTGCTCCGTTTCATGCTCTTTTGGACAGGGTCTTTCAACGGACGACCCAAGGCAAGAAACAATCTCAAACAGAATGCCAGGGCCGATAGCTCCCTGGTTAAAAAAAAAACAAGACTGTATGTCAGCAGCTTCTCTGTTTTAACCAATTCTAATAAGAGGTAGTCCTCGACTTAACGACCATAACCGAGCCAAAAAATTCCCATGGCTAAGCGAGACTGTTGGTGAAGTGAATTGTTAAGCAAATTGTTGCACCTGATAGTTTAATGAACCTGACTTCCCTTGGGAAAGGGTCGCATCCCATGACCCCGGAATGCTGCAACCATCATAAATATGAACCGGTTGTCAGGTGTCCACATTTGGATCACGGGGACCACAGGAGAATGCTACAACGGCCATAAGTGTGAGAAATGGTCCTAGGGCAGTTTTTCCCCGGTGCCATCGTAACTTTGAACGGTCGCTAAACGAACTGTTGTAAGTTGAGGCTTACTTGCACTTCCCTCACTGTCTGTTTGGACTGTTTAGGGCAGGCCTATCACCAAGGGAAGAAGAGGCAGGAAGCCGCTCCTTCCCGCCCCCACTGTAAAACGAAACAAGAGGGTTAGATCAGCTATCAGGGGGTCAGTTGTCCAGCCATCAATCAATGCTATCCGGAACCGTGTTTTCTTGGAAGGAGATGGTGCTGGTAGCTGCTCTGTCCTCCTGAAGAGAGGAATGCTCTGCAGCCAACACACTCTTTACGGGGCAGGCCCCGTCTTGCAATATTTGCATGGGGAATGAAAGCTACGCCTACTACAGTCACATACCTGCTAGGAATGATTGTTTTGTTTCATTTTTGTAATTGTTTTTGTTCCCGAGTATGATTTGATTGCTTTTTTAATATCCTATGACTATCACTAAGTGTTGTATCTTATGACTCTTGATATTTTATTTCTTTTTATGTACCCTGAGAGCATATGCACCCAAAGACAAATTCCTTGTGTGTCCAGTAACACTTGGCCAATAAAGAATTCTATTCCATTCCATTCCTATATTATCCTATCTTCTATTCCATTCCATTCCATTCCATTCCATTCCATTCCATTCCTATATTATCCTTTTATTCTATTTCATTCCTATATTATCCTATCTTCTATTCTATTCCATTCCATTCGATTCGATTCCATTCTTATATTATCCTTTTATTCTATTCCATTCCTATATTATCCTATCTTCTCTTCTCTTCCATTCCATTCATTCCTATGTTATCCTATCTTCTATTCTATTCTAATATTATCCTATCTTTTATTCTATTACTTTCTACTCCTATATTATCCTATTTTGTATTCTATTCCTATATTCTATTCTATTCTATTCTATTCTATTCTATTCTATTCTATTCTA